GGCCACTAGCTCATAACATTAAAACAAAACAAAACAGGCACTTATAAATCCCTCACACTTTAGTCAAGGCAGAACCCTACTGCTCAATTGTTTGAAGTCAGGAATGAGAATGCTAATACATTTCATAATTTAATATTTTAAAAGCACTCCCTCTAAAAAATCTGCTTTACATATATACATACAATGCACGCACACAGACCGACACACATATTTATTTTCTCTAGACTATTGTAGTTTTCATGAGAAGTTTAATAACTTTAAGCCAGGAAAATGTATTTTTCTACCTTGATGGATAAGTTTTGTGAGATTTTATTCTATTTTTAAAGGTTTCTAGAAAATAAACCCTGTTCCACTCACTTAACTTCATATCCCTAAACATAATGGCATATAGCACCTAAGAGTCGAGTAGTCACTAATACAAACAAGGAATCTCTACCTTTGACCCCAGTGCAACTCCCCCAAACTACTCCTCAGAATTTTCACTTAGTTTTGCTGGCTGCACAGTTCTTGCCCAGAAGAAATGACACACGTAGGCCTGTACTTTAGCCTGCCCTAGCCTTTATTGTCTCATTTATCTCTCTCCATACAAGTACTAGCCAATCCTCCTCCTATGTGGCATGGGACTCTCACCACTTCATATTCCATACTTACAGAAAGCAATTTAGAGGCCAGGTTTTGCAATGGTTGTGGGAAATATTTATCTGAAGTAATTATCACTTTTTTTTTTAAAGGAAAAAAAGGAGTTTGTTATGGAACCCAATGGCCTGCACCTCATCATCCTCCTGCCTTAGCCTCCTGAGCACTGAGCTTGCATCTGGCCTTTAAATGAGAACTCTGGATGCATAGTCTGATGTATCTTTCCAGGAAGTTAGGAGTAAATTACATTTTCCTGGATTCTCTTAGCTTACAGGAAAATTCACATGCCCTGAAAATGCTATCATAGAGTCATCTTGTGACCATCACAGTTATACCTTATAAAAGGCCGTGTCACCGCAAGGATCGTTCTGATGAACCAAGATGGGTGGACAATGATGAATGACTTCAAATTCTTGCGCAACCTATTTTGCAAACGGAAACAGTTCTATATTATTTTAAATTTGCTTTCCATTGGAAATAGAAAATAGATCCCCAAATAAGAATACATTATGTTTTCAGGAGGGATTCTAGAAAAGTTACAAGGTTGATGTATAGAATGTTTAGTATTAATTTTAAAATGCCTCTGTTTTCTCTCTCTCTCCTTCCCCTACCGTGTATGTGTGTGTGTCTGTTCACATGGGTATGTGTGTAAGTGTGTATGCACTCCTGTAGAGAACACCCACAGGAGAAGAACCACTGCCCTAATCTGCCCTAATACATAAAACAGTAGCCAGGTCACATGACATCACCGAAGACTCATGGGTACCTTGGTTTGTCCATCTGCGTTGTACCAACACAACTGCAGTCTAGAGTGAACCAGAGCTGCCAGGTTCAGGATTGCAGTTTATAAAATCTAGGGAGGATTTGCTTTGCTTAGTTTTAGGCACCATGTGGTACTTTTTCACTAATAGTTTTACAACCTACTGCTTCATGTATAAGTACCCTGCTATTTCTATGATATGACTGTATTATATAGGCTAGAAGAATATTAGATATGAGAGTTAGTGAGCAGTCACAATAGTGACTGAATGGTGACACCAGCATACCGTCTGTCAATCATCTGGTAGCATTTCTTCATCCAGCCTAGACCTGGCATCTTCCGTCTGGGGGTTGCACCATTCAAGTACACAATCATGTAGTCCTCAGCTACCATCAGCTCTAAGGTACTTATTACATATCTGATCACAGGAAGGAAGAGAGAGAGTTTCAGTTCCCACATGAAAGCTTTCATTCTATTTATACCAAAATTAAGTGACATGCAAATTATAGGGTGAATGACATTGAAGAATAGTGGTGCATGTTATCTCGTTTTTCTTGAGAACAATGCGTCAGCATTGCCCTTTATTTGTATATGTGCAGCCACCTTAGAAAAATATGTGGGTTTAAAAGGTGACATAAGAAATGTCTGTAATATTATCAAATATTAAGGGCAACTCAGATTAAAGGTCAAAGGTCAGTAAGGACATTTTTCCATCACTAAGAACATGTTATCAGAAACAAAAACAATCCTTTGCCTAAAGGAAATGTTAGAAAAGGCTTAGCTATAAGCCAAATACAGCTCATTTTCTTTTGCCATTATTCTACAGAGTTCCCTAGAACAAGGCTCCTTGACAGAAATACTACTGGCTTCTTATCAGAGGTTTAGGATCGGCTATGTCATATACCCGTGCAGTTAGTTAAAGACCCTTTATCAGCCACCACATGCCCACAGATGTCAACCCAATCACCACTCACAGGAAAAGGTTTTCCATGACATAGTGGTAATCTGCCCGGCTGCTGTCTGGCAGAAAACAGGCGGCAAACACAATGATGGCATTCAGACCGTCCCCATAGTATCCTGGGGACAAATAAAAAGACATGTGTAACTGAATGAAATCCCTTAACAAGGTCATATTACTCCTAGAAAGAGAAATCTGATGTCTTGTCCTGTCTCTCTGTGTGTGTATAAATGAGATATATCATGAAATGAGTAACCATACTGAGGAATTATATATATTCACACACACACACATATTTACCTTTTAGTGGTTAACATATTTATATAGTCTTGTATATATAATATAAGGCAACACTTTGACACATAAGTCTCTAACTCAAACTATACTGATTTACAATAAAAGCTAATCTATACAAAGTTTCATTCTGGTGGCTGAGAAAGAGATTCTATTAGATCCACAATGGTTCTTTTAGTTTAAGATCTCATTAACTGTGACAATTTAGTCAGTGAATCGCAATTCCATCCAATAACCAGGGGAGAGACATGCAAAATACCTTTAATTTTGATTTCCAGGCCTAGTCATTTGACTGTAGTGATCCTGGATTCTCTGGATATAACAGGAAGTGCAGGAACACATGGTAATGCTGGCCAAGCCCAGAATAACAGCACAGAATTCACAACCTCACATCTCTTAGAGAAAGCAGTGCACTAAAAAAAAGGGGGCCGACCTAAATTCTCTTGAACCTTATGAAGATACGTGCATTTGGGAAAACCTGAGAATCATTTCTGGATGAGACAGGTGGGAGGTAGAAGTGCTATTTGCAGGTGGAGCTGAGAAAAACAGGATCTGTGAAATGCAAGTCAAGGCACCATTCAAACTCTGAAAGTCAGGGAATATAAAGATACATCTCGGGATGTCACCCCCATATTTTTAAATAACTGAAATCATTTTAGCATTGCCCCATCTTTTCCCCCCACAAACATTCTGGTTCCTGAGATCATCTCTGAAATTGATAGCCGGTGCTACTCAACTACCAAAGGATAAGTGTGTGGAGTAAAATATGTCTCTGATACTTAAAGAGGAAGATGGTGCCCCGATTGCCATTGGGGGAGAGCTGGGGATTGAACTCAGGACCCTCACATGTGCTAAATCACACTCTAGCACTGGGGGAACCATCATCCTTGATCAGTTTTAAATATGTCCATTTGAGCCTAGAGTCTTAAGCACGCTACCAACCACTGCACCACTGAGCTGCCTCTCCAGTCCTTAATCATTTTTAGGCAAGGGCTTGCTAAACTGCCAAACTCACCTTGAACTCACTTTGAAACTTAGGTGGGCCCTTAAACTTACAATCCTCATGTCTCAGTTTCCAGAGTAGCTGGAGATCTTACTTACATTTGTTTTTCCATATATGTATATATAAGTTTTTCTTATTTATATATGAATTTTCATATTTATTTATTTAGTGTTTGAATATGTGAAGCATGTACACACATGTTCCCTGGGTCACCTATGGAGGTCAGAGGACAACTTGTGGGAGTCAGCTCTCTCCTTCGACCATAGGGGTTCTAGGCATGGGACACATGTCACCAGGCAGCTGAGACATCCCACCAGCCCATTAAATGTCCCCAGTCTACATGCTTGTAGTTTACATTATATTGTCCCAAATTTACAGTTATTATGTAGAGAGGCCCTTGGAGCTTTGAGCAGAGCAGGACAAGAGTGCTCCTAACCCTGATCCTGTTCTCCTAGAACTCGATGTTTTCCTTTCAGAGCTATGACAATGGCTCTGGCAGTGACACAGCAGGGAAATGTTGGCAGTAGATTTGGATGGCTCCCTCTTGAGGAGCACTTTAATAAGATGTCCCCTCCAAAGACACCAATTATGACTCTTACCAACAAAGCAGAGAGAAAGGAACTACAAATACATCCAGTTGTGGGCTCGTGCGACTCATTTGGGATGTCGGAGAGGTGTTTATGCCACCTATCTTACGGATGCTAACATTACATCTGGTACAGTATAATTGTGAGCCAACATGCCTGTGCGACTCATTTGGGATGTCGGAGAGGTGTTTATGCCACCTATCGATGCAACGGATGCTAACATTACATCTGGTACAGTATAATTGTGAGCCAACATGCCCTCACCTCCCTCTGGACTTCCTGCTTCGGTCCCATCATCCCCACTATGTAGCCATTTACCAGCTTCTTTTTAGAATGTTAACATGAAGGAAATCTCAAGACAGACATTTTATGTGAGAAGTTCTTGGTTCTGAGGACTCACGAGCAAATGGAAATCCGCAAGGGATGTAGAAGCGAGCCAACGTGAAGACATGCAATTCAGACAGCAAAGGACAACGTAAGTGTCCAACACAAGAGAGTCAATGCCACAGTCCTGGTGGAAAAAGCAGCATGAACACATCTTTCTAAATGTAGTTGTTGGCTATGGTGTCAGAACCATTGAGACCAGGACTATTCAGTTCCGTGCTCTGCTTCTGGAGAAGCGGAATTCCTAAGAAATGTTAGCGTGTTCAGAATGCAGCGGCACTGATACAATCTTTGCATCATCTAACCGAGGTGTACGCGGGGATCACTGCCTAAGTGAGGCGTTTAGCTTTGTTCAAAAGACGCTGACATTTACAAATGAAAGTGGATCCCAGCACTTTGGGTAGAGGAGCGGCAAGAAGAGATGGGGCGAAATGAAAGGGAAGAAAATAAGAGGACAGGCGGTAATGCAAGAAAGGCACGAGAAGAAAAGGATTGCCACATGGAAGTGTGTCCCCCAGTTTGTCAACTGATCTCTCTATAGTGAGGCATTGGATATTCTTTGAAAAGTAGCTCACTGGTAAGTGAGCAGATAGGTCCTATCTCAAAAACAAAACAACAAAATTTACTGGGCAAGAGCAGTAACTAGAGTGAGAAACTGCTATTTAGTCCTCTGTACAGATGCTTTTTGGGGACCAGATAACCTCTCAATTTCTACCCCAAATCATGCCACTTTTCAGGTAAAGTTGGTAACAGCATAATTCCTATGAAATTTGGTTTGTCTGTCTGTCTGCACTGGGGATTGCAACTAAGTCCCAGTGCAGGCTATGGTGGTACTCTGCCCTTGAGCCATAGGACTGTAGATAATTTTACTTTTCGCTTTGAGTCAGGGTATTAATAAGTTGCTCAGGTTGTCCTGAAATTTCTCTATAGCCTAAGAAAGTCCTAAATTTAGAAACCTCTGTCTCAGACTCCCATGTAGCTGGAATTACAAGCCTGGCTTGGAGTTTGGTTGTTTAAATATTTAATTTGTCAGACTCTGTTCTGTTCTCATTGAACAAGAGGTAGACATAGGTGCATGTTCGGAGTGTGTGGGGGAGGTGGTATCAGCAATCCCACCGTGGAGCTTCCTGAGGCCCTATGGATCAGTGATGGCATACCTTACCTGAGGTGACACAAGAGGCATGAAAGAGATGTGACACAAGTTTGCTGGCCAGCAAATGGAATGGAGAGAGAAGGACAGATGTCACAGGAGCAACAGAACACGCGCACACACACACACACCAGCCAGCAACTCTTCTGCTCATTCTTTCCAGGCTCTTTTGTCCAGCAACACTGCAGAGAAGGTTACCTGAGTCTCCTAGAGTGAAATAAGAGAAGTAAAAAGAAAACAAGACAGGAAACTCCTTGTTAGCATCCTTCAGTATGATTGCTCTTTGTTATTCAGCGAGCTTATTCTCAGCACTAAGTTAAAAAAAAAAAAAATCAGTTCTGGCTTATACCAGACCCCATGATATTGTCTATGTAAAATCACCCATCATGCTTTTAGCCTTTTTTTTTTTTTTAAAAAAAAGAATATCACTTATGGGTCATAGGATTTGAACACTGACATCGTCACACACTGCCTCTTTCAGCTGATATAGTAATTGAGGCCAGAGAAGGTTAGGGGATGTACCAAGGTCAGAGATCCTTCTAAACTGTGTAGAGGGTGCCCATGCCAAGGCCACCAAATCTGAGGAGTGGATTACAAACACAGCAGTGACCACTGGAGAGCATCTGACTGTGTGCCAATTTGTTCAAGCCTTTGGTTGCTTCCACCTTTCAGTTTCATGCACTGAACATTGCCCTACCAGAAGTTTCTCTGGGGCTGACAGGAAACCTCTTCAGAGCAATATGGAGCACAGAAGCAAGACTCGTGTTCAGTCTGTTTTGATATGCTTCCCAGAAGCCAATAGTTGGCAGCAAAGATGCTTGGTCATCAGAGACTGGGAGAGCAATGTGAGTTTCCAACACGGAAGACTAAGCTTTGTCAAATTCAGAAGTAACATCTGAGCAAATTTTTACCTAGAGCACAAAGCTGTCCAGCATGTAGGAGGTGGCGGCTTCTCGGTAGTGGGCGGAGGGTACAGCCAGAGGCATATTCATGCAGCTGCGTGGCTGAAGGAGACTGAGGCAGAGCCGGGGAAAGGAGAGGTGGCCTTCTCTTCAAAAACAAACTGACAGTCACTCAGACAAAAACCAAATGCACGCCACATAATGTGTGGAGAGGAGCAAGTGCCAAGGGGAGGAGGTGGCAGGGATGGAGCTCAGCAAACCAGGTTCCCCTGAGGTCACACATGGACTTTAAAGAGACCATGGCAGGCAGAGACAGTCCTGCCTACCAGTGTACTCCTAGTGGCCGCTTGGCCTGATTCCAGTGACTTGGACATCAGGCCACCCAACCCATTTGATTTGACTGAACTTGAAAAAACAAAGAGGCTAATCTACTAAGGTATCAAGAGGTAGTTTGGCCTTTATGCTGACAGTAGAACTGTGGGCCTGTTGTCTCATGACATGGGACTCTGAGGTCATCATCACCATGTGACTTTGATTTACCCTGGCAGACTTTTCTATATTTCCTGTGCATTTTAGAGAATGCACAGGTCACTTTTAAAGTCAATCTTTGTGACTATATTTGTTTATTTTTTACTACCCCAAAGCAAACAAACCAAAAATACCAGAGGGGCACCGTGAAGCAAGAATGATTTATATGAACATTGGAGGAGGGCTTGGGTTCTCCTTGTCATCCCAGCAAGGGGCTGACTTTATACTCCTCTCGCAATCTCCACAAGCTTTGCTCAGCTTCCTTCCAAAGGGCTAAGGAAGAGATTCCTCCCACAGGGTCCTACTGCTGCCCACAGCAGCTATCCCAGGTTCACGGATTGCACAGCAAGGCAAGAAATACGAAGGTCAGGTCAAGGGACCCCAAGGTTATCCTTTTTCCATGTCAATCAGTTTCCTTGGGTGGCCCTGGTATTCATGGGAGGTAGTGGCACATAGAAAGAGTGGGGAGAGATCTATTGGGGGAGGGATGGTTGACTAAGACATTTGTGTGCATATTAGAAAGCAAATGCTATTGATTAAATGCAGTATTGAAAAGGGCTGAAGCTACAGCTCAGTGGCAGAGCCTTTGCTTAGCGTACGCAAGCCCCTGGCTTCAACCCCCGGCACTGAGAAACAAACTCTTAATGAACTGCCAAAACTTATTTCCTAGTTCTCATTAAGGCAGAGGCACTGACAGCAACGACTGCCTTGCGAGCTTGTGCCTTGGTAGAAAGATGCCTCAAGACTGCAGGAAAGGGATGCATGCAGCAGACACATCAAACAGCCAATGATGTTTTCTGAAGTCAACAACATCCAATGCAATGCCTTTGTTCATCTGACTATTTTCTGAGGCTCCAATTTAATCAAAACTACACGCATGCCTGGAACCATCAGGTAAACACACTTTTCCCTCTCCTGGGTTCCTTGCTGGAATAGAGGTTTTGACTGTGGTTAACTTTTGTCTGTCCCAAATTTAAAGTGGCTCATAGGAGAATAAATCTTTGGTAGAATAAATAACTACTGGGCTGAGTCTAAAAAGATGCATGTGCTGGAGCCTCAGAAGGGGATTGAAAGCCCCTCCACCATTGAGGTCTTACCTCCGTGAGAAATGACTCTCCTGTAGGGTTCGATGACCTTCATGTCAATCCGTTGTTCCTGTTCTCCAATCACCACTGTCCTCCATAACCGGTTGTCTTCTCGTTCCTCTTCGGCTGTATACTCTGGAATAGATTCTGACTCTTGACCAGAGCTCTTGTTGGCCATGGGATCTTCTGGAAGGGAGGCACAGAGTGGGACTGAAGCAGCAAGACTTCCACAGGACAAACAGGATAGAGACTGGATTGGAAGCCACCTCCTTGCAGAGCCACCCACTAGGAACTCCTTAGAGGCGAATAGCAGCCTGACCATACAACACCTACCATATAGACAGATGGAGGAACCAAATCCTTTCCTAAGGTCATGCTGAAGTAGAAACAGTCGAGGTTAGGGTTCTGGTACCTACTCATCTTTGGTCATCAAGGTTAAACACTATAGATCTTTCTGGTAGGGTAATATCAGGTCCAGTTACCTTTAGCTTCCTGGGGCCATCTCCCCTGGTTGCTTGGAGTGTTTGAGTGCCTTTACTCGATGACACTACTGCTTAGACCTTGGCTGTAAGACTCTTAGAACAGGGATGAAGCCCTTTGAACCATTGTGAAGCTAGGGTGTATGCTTGTACAGAAGGCTGCTAATACTTCCCGTGCATTGTTCCAGAATATGCTACAGTAAAGATTATATAGTGAATGGGAAACAGATAACTTTGTAAACTGGAAGTTTCCTGGCAGATTTTAAACTTTTGGGTCCACAAAGCAACAGCAACAAAAACCCCACTGAGTATTCTTTGCTCAAGGTTTAGTCTTATGCATTCAAAATAATAATCATGGTGTTCACTGAGAGGCTAAGCTGCAACTGTTAAACATTTTTACTAGACGTGCGAATCAAGTTTAACAAAAGGCATTCTTCACAGTTTTAAATACTCCGAAGGGAAAGATTATTTATTACCTTTCCTACAACTCTGAGGCATGGCTGTTCTTATTTTTTTTACATTGTGGAAGAAGACCATTTAGATGGCATTGCTCTTTGCCTCAATCCCTCCTGTGTCACAATAGCAGTGATAGCAATAGCAGTGCTGTGGTTCCCATCCATTGGCACTGACATAGCAGTAGGTGTTAAAATAGAGGCTAAGCTGCAACTGTTAAACATTTTTACTAGAAGTTCGAATCAAGTTTAACAAAGGGCATTCTTCACAGTTTTAAATACTCTGAAGGGAAAGATTATTTATTACCTTCCCTACAACTCTGAGGCATGGCTGTTCTTATTTTTTTTTTTTTTTTACATTGTGGAAGAAGACCATTTAGATGGCATTGCTGTTTGCCTCAGTCCCTCCTGTGTCACAGTGATAGCAATAGTAGTGCTGTGGTTCCCATCCATTGGCACTGACATAGCAGTAGGTGTTAAAATGGACATTATACCAATGTGGAGATGGGTAACTAGCAACTGTGGTGATATCTTGCTTAAACTCAGTCAGTAGAGCATGAGACTCTTAATCTCAGGGTAGTGGGTTCATGCCCCACGTTGGAAACCAAAATATAAATGGAGTTTTTAATTGGTCCAGATAATAAAAACCTGGAGTCAGATATAGAGGGAAATGCTGAAGATCAGAGAGAAGGAGCAAGCCACTGCCACACCTTACCTCCCAAACATCTCAGCAGACAAGAGAGCGAGTTCCTGTTTCTCCCTGCTTATAACCTGATTCCACTCAGCTATCTCACATCCGAGACCTCCAGATCTCTATGGTTAGCTAGTGGCAAGCTCCATTCTGTGACCTCCAGACAGGCTTTATTTGTACAAGCAAGATATCACCACAAGTAACAAATACTGCTCCTGCTCCTCTGCTGTGAACTTTCCTAGGCTACTGGCATGCCTTGAGTGTGAATTCCTTGGGTTAGGGAATTTTGTCTGAATCACCTTTAATACTTACTCACTTCTACTGACACATCTCACAGCTCTCGCAGAAATCTACTCAGAATATACAAATTCTGGGAAGGTGAGTGGGTAAATGCCAGGGAGTTTGAGCAAGCTCTTAGGACTAGAGATAGTCTATAAGGACCCATAACACAGCATTGCATCCTGGAAGATTCAGCAGTCACTAAACACCCACAAGTACCTAATTACTCAGGACTCACTATCGGAAACTGAAGCTCAGCTGGGAAGCCAGCCTAGCCTTCTTTGCCAACCTAAACAGCCACACCACCCACAGAGCCCTGGCTCATTCTGATTCCACTATGGTCCCAGCAGCACTCAGCAGCTTGATAAGGATGGAAGGAAGCAACCATGGCTTCTGATCAAGCACCATGTCACCTGGTGTAGACCTATTTATTTGTCTGGTATTCTTTCCCACTTCTTCCTTTCTACTTGGATTGGGAAACTTATATACTAATTCTAGCTCTCTTAGGTTCCATATTTCTCATCCTGTCATTGGTACCTAACTCTGGGCTCAGACATGATATGCCTTTTGATGTTCATGTGCCCTTGACATCAGTAAACTAACCACTCACCAAACCCTCCATGGACTTACCATGCATCTAAACTTCAGTGAACTCATCAAACCTTCTACAGTATATTTGGTACTCTAGCCTGCTCTAGTTTGTCCTCTGTGAGTTGATAGTGTGACATATATGATGAATATAGACTCAAATCTGCATCTGCTCACAAATTAGCTAAAATTGTATCATACACCTCATGTAAAATGCCCAAACCATAGACAACATAAGAGAAAATCTAACTGACCTTGGCATAGAGATGGTATTTATGTATGTATTTGTTTGTTTGTTTTATTAGGGCTTGTCATGCTATCTGTGCTATAGAACTCATGAGCACAAGCATGCTTCCTACCTCAGCCTCCCAAGTAGCTGGGCCTGAAGGTATGTGTCACCAGGCCTGGGTCTGCAACTGATGACTTTTTAGATACTAACACTAAATTCATGGAGTAAGTAATTGACAAACTAGACTGTGTTAAAGTTGAAAACATGCTCCATGAAACACAGCACCAAGAGAATAAGAAGATAGCTACAGACTAGGAGAATGTATTTATAGAGTCCAAATCTGGTAAATGATTATTATTCAAGATATACAAAAATGCCTAAGACTTAACAATAAGAAAATGAACTATTTGATTAGCAAATAAGCAATACAATGGTGTTAGGGCTGTACTTCAGTATTAGAGTGTTTTCCTACTATGTACAAGACCTTGTTTTTAGTGCTTAATAACACAATGTACACACATGGGTGTGTGCACACACACACACACACAAAGAACTGAGCAGACATCACCTCATTAGTGGAGATAAATATACCAAGGAAGCATAAGAAAAGATGTATGACATCATTTATCATTTTAAGATGATACAATAGTGAACTGCTGTTACAGATACTACTATTAGAAAGGTCAAAGTCCAAAACACTGACAGTCACCAAACTACTGAGAATGGGGCGCATTGGGGATTCTCCTGTGTTGATGGTGAAGATGGAAATGTTCCAGTAACTTTGGAAGACAGTTTGGAAGTTTCTTATAAATAAGCTCCTATCATGCAGTCCAACTCCTTTGTAATTAGCCAACAGAAGGGTATTTCCAGACAAAAATCTTCACATGTATGCTTACAGAAGCTTCATTCATACTTGCCAAAACTGTGAAGCAACCAAGATGTCTGTCAATAAGTGACTGGAAAAACAAAGCGTCACATCCATACACTGGAATACCATTAAGTGCTAAAAAGAAATGAATCCTCGAGATGTGAAGGGATCATAAATGCCTAAATGCAGAAGACCAATCGAAAGTCTGCTTACTGTGTGATCCTAACTATCTGACATTCTGTAAAGGGTAAAGCTATGGAGACAATAAGAGGATCAGTAGCAGCCAGGGGCTAGAGGGTTTTGTGTAGCAAATTTCTGCAACAGGAAACCCTCAGTCTGAGGAAAGCTAATTCAGACACAATGTTCTGAGGGAAGCAGAGCATTCCAGCCAGCAAGAAGCTCCTTAACTTAGGAGGTAAAGAATCCAAAGACTTCAGGAAGTCCCTGAAACTGACTAGATATACAAGACCCTTCTCTCTCTGAGCACATAGATGCTGTAAGCATCGCTGAAAGACAGAAAAGCTAGGCTGCCTAGAAGACACTCAGACAAGATGAGCAGCCTGAAAGAGGCAGAGACCAACCCAGCTGCCTAGCAGCTCAGAACAAGGCAGCTACCTGAAAAGACAATACTCTGAGCAATCTGCAGGCTATGCAGTGTGCTAAGTAGGCTTTGGTGGTACACCACAAGTTGAGTCATTTCTGCTCCTGTAAGTAACTTCTCAACTATATTGCTGTTAGTCACTCAGTAAAATTCATTCATTTAACAATTTGGACTTTGATGACATCCTTATTTTGTTCTGTTTTTGGTTCCCTATATGGGGTGGGTAGATGTTTGCTTATGTCTCCCCAGGAATAATGTCACACAGCACAGGTAAAGGAAGGGTAAATTACAGGTCACTTTCTGCTTGTCTAAACCCACAGAATGTTCAGCATCAGGAGTGAGTGCTAATGTAAACTCCGTATTCTGGGTGAGAATGATGTGTTGACCATGAAGGTTGTCAGTTGCTACAGATGCAAGAGCAGAGGGAAGCTGAGAGTGTAGGGGACGGAGGAGGGAGTGAACTAGACATGTGACATGCAATTTGGATGTTAAGCTAAAAGCTCTCTAAACATGTTTATTAGTTGAAAAAGAAGTAACACAGAAAACTATAAGCCACAAAGCAATTCTTGAAATAGAGGAGACAGACCATGTCACCCATCCCTCTCACATACACACTTTAAAAATGAGCATGATGATTCTTCTGACAATTGAGCCTACCCAATAAATGAGAATGATGATTCTTCTGACAATTGAGCCTACCCAATATACAAGTATCTCCTCATCTCAGGAATTATAAGCCTGCGAAATTTAGAACTAGCCCTCAAGTACATTACTTTGTTAAAGTCTCTTAGCTTATTAACTCCATGAAGGAATAGTTAATTTTATTCTATTTTGTTTTTCCTTTAAAGAATTTGCTTTGATATCTTTACATAGGAGTATTACATAATTTGAACCCATATAGCTGAGGGGCAATGCCACCTCTGGGCAGGTGGTCCTGAACTTTATGAGAGGACACCAAACAAGTCAGGAAGAACAAGTCAGTAAGCAGCACTCTACCATGGCCTTCCCTTTATTTCTCCAAACCTTTGGG